AAATGAAATTACCATAATACCCTTTAATTTATTTATATATATAAGCCCCCATTTGTTAATTACTCCTCTGAGTTGCCTCTCTCTCACTCACTCACTCACTCACTCTCTCTCTCTTCTCTCACTCTCTCTCTCTTCTCTGCATGCAATCGGCAATGGCGTCATCGCTCCTGCTCACCGCCTTCTCCATCGGCGATGGCGTCCTCCGAGTTGCCTCTCTCTCACTCACTCACTCACTCACTCACTCTCTCTCTCTTCTCTCACTCTCTCTCTCTTCTCTGCATGCAATCGGCAATGGCGTCATCGCTCCTGCTCACCGCCTTCTCCATCGGCGATGGCGTCCTCCGAGTTGCCTCCTCCGTCGCGCCTCACTGCCTCCTCTTCCTCCTCCTCCGTCGCTTCCTCCTCCTCCAAGTCATCGCCGAACCGTCGCCTCTCGCTTCCTCCTCCCTCCGCCACAGCAGATCTGAACAGATCCTCCGACTAGTGAATATTAGGGATGACAATTTAAACCCGGCTCGACAGGGACCCAACCCCCCGTTTCCGATAAGAGTGGTTTTTCCCCGAAAAATACCCCCAACGGGATGGGGATGGTATTTAAAATTGAATCCCCGATTAGTTTCGGGCCAGGGACGGGGATAGCTTTCACAGCCCTGGACCGGCCCCGGCCCTGCCCCGGCCCCGTTTTTCCCCCGAAATGAAATTACCATAATACCCTTTAATTTATTCATATATATAAGCCCCCATTTGTTAATTACTCCTCTGAGTTGCCTCTCTCTCACTCACTCACTCACTCTCTCTCTCTTCTCTGCATGCAATCGGCAATGGCGTCATCGCTCCTGCTCACCGCTTTCTCCATCGGCGATGGCGTCCTCCGAGTTGCCTCCTCCGTCGCGCCTCACTGCCTCCTCTTCCTCCTCCTCCGTCGCTTCCTCCTCCTCCAAGTCATCGCCGAACCGTCGCCTCTCGCTTCCTCCTCCCTCCGCCACAGCAGATCTGAACAGATCCTCCTTCCACTACTCAAATTTGAGCAGATCCTCCCTTCGCCACCGTCTGTCTCTATTTTTTTTTTATTTTTTATGATGTTGCTATTGATTATGTTGTTGATGAAAATGATGTTGTTGGTGTTGATGATTTATTATTGATGATGTTGTTGTTGATTCATTCCATATACAGATAATTATTATTATTTTTTTGGTTGAACAGATTTGTGTGTGTGTGTTGTGAACAGGTCTGTCGGAGATTTTTCGGGGTTGGGAATACCCGATCCCCGTTAGGGGGCTGGGGTGGGGGAGGTGATGCCTTCCCCGTCAGGGATCGGAGCTGGGGACGGGGACGGGGACTTTTTAATCTTCGGGGATCGGGGACGGGGAGGGTGATCCCCAGCCCCGCCCCGCCCCGCTCCGTTGCCATTCCTAGTGAGTATAAGCACTATTTGGTATCTTTGAGAGATAATTGAGTACTGACTTGATCGTCGAAGTGCTCTCGAGTGGACGAACCACCGCCGGAGTCTCATCTTTCTGTGACAGGTCGTTTGAGCGCAATCTATTCTGTCGGTATTCTCTAACTGAGTACCTGTTTGATAGTGTAGTCAGAAAACAGCACACACAGGTAAAAATAATAAAATTTATAATTTCATGTTAGAGATGAAAAAATAACAAAATTATTGATAATAGATGATTAATTAATAACACATAAGACATTAAAGTGAAAAATTATTTTGTGATCTGGAGAGACATCATGGGACTTTGGGTTTGTTTGATTGGACGGACTGGAAAAGGGGGGATTAGAATCCATCGGACTTGAGTCATGGGACTGTGAATCCCCCGGACTATTTGGTTGGATTGGATATGTATCCTGTGTTTGTTTTTCATGGGATTAGATGTCTAGATAGGACTATTTTCAGTGAATCCAACGTTTGGTTGGACGGACTGGATAGGATAAATGAACAAAAGACTATTTTACCCCTTTTCAATTGTTTAGTAAGTAATAGTAATATTAAACATATCTTTAATATTTAAATTATTTTTAGTAAACATTAAACATACTAATGGTTAAATTTTGTTTAAAGATATTTAAACATACTAATATTGATAAAAAATTTTGACTGGTACAAATTATTTTTATTTAAACAAATAAAGATTTATTGTTGAAATTAAACATACTAATGGTTAAATGTTTAAATTTTTATTTAAACAATTAACATTGAAATTATTTTGATGTACAGATTATGTTTAAACAATTAACAAATGTTGATGTAATTAACAATTAACAAATGTAGATGTAATCAAATGTTGACGTATTAAAACATAATTTAATAGATGTTAAATAAATATACATGTTGATGTACAGATGTTGAAATAATTTAATAAACATGTTGATGTACAAATATTTAAATGTTTAAATAAAACATAATTTAAATAAATGAAATTATTTATTGTTGAAATTAAACATTTAATTGTTTAAATAAAACATCTATTAAAACATCTATTAAATTTAAACAATGAAATTAAATAAAACATAAACAAAATTTTAAAATAAAACATCAATAAAATATCTATAAAAAATTATTTTAAAAAATTAAATAAATAAAACATTAATAAAAAGTTAAATAAAATTATTTTATTTTTAAATTGAGACATTTAAATTTTATTAAATTTTATTAAATATAATACATAATTAAAAATAGTAAAAAGGGTCAAAATTGTCTATTTTTCGCATCTAATCGCACAACAGGTGATTAGTCCCTACCAAAACAATCCCTAACCCCCCAAGAACAAGGATATTTCCCTTTCCCCCATATATGGGGACATAGTTGATGTTCAGACGCCGGAACTAATAAAAAAAAATCAAACGACCGAAATAAGGAGGGAGGCGCGATGGAACTGATATGCCACAATAGACTAGGATAGGTTCCCGGCCTATCCCCCACCTCAAACAGCCCCATATGTGGCACGCGCTTTGTATTATAGGGATGTAATAGTAGAACGTTATAAAGAAACAGGTGAGGCGATGGCTAATGTCAAGGTATTAAGTGAATAAGCCTTGTTTGGTTTGTGGAGAAGGCCTTGGACATTAGTGCCCTGGTATTACTTAATACCCTTGGGCCCCACGTTAACCATCGTTTGATTGGGGAGCAAGAGAAGGTATTTGGGAATTGCTATTTGTCCAAGGTATTTAGCTAAATCAGCCTTGTTTGTTTTGGGCAGAATAGGCTTGGGCGAATTATCTAAGTGCCGCTTGGTATTATCTTAACTTACCCTTGGTAGAGCGGGATTAGTGGTACGAGAGGTAGAGATGTGTGATTAGAAAAATAGTGAGGGGATTAGAAATTTTTTAATTTTTTTATTTTTTATAATGGAAATTTTTTAAAAAATATAATTTTTAAGTTTTTTATATTTTTTTATTTGTTTCTATTATTATATATCAAAAATATTGTAATAATTCTCATCTAATGCCCCTCACTATCAATCCCTGCACTAAATCCTCTCACTATCAATCGCCTCACTATCAATCCCTCACTATTAATCCCCTCCACTATCAATCCGCGCTCACTATTAATCCGTCACTAACAATCTCCTCGCATTCTATCTCCTGAAGACAAACGTGGGCCTTGGTACGAGCGAGGATTAAGGTACCAGCGAAGGAGGTAGATGATTGGTATTAGGAAAGAAAAATAGCGCAGGGGATTAGAAATTTTTTATTTTTTAATTTTTTATATATGGAAATTTTTTTAAAAAATATACATTTTTAATTTTTTATATTTTTTATGTTTATTTATTAATATATAAAAATAATTTAATATTCCTGCACTACTAATCCCCGTCATATCAATCCCATCACTACTTAATCCCCACTATCCAATCCTCTCACATATTAAAACCTCACTATCAATCTCCTCCATTCTATCTCTGAAAACAAACGGGGCCTTTATGTCTTGACTTGTTAATCACAAACCACCGCGCCTTATTCCTCGTGCCTGAACCATCAAATACCTTCTCCCTTGAAACACTTAGGGTGTGTTTGGTAACGTTTACGTTTTCAGTTTATATTTACAAAAATTTTATAAACTGATCTTTGTTTATTTTTAGAAAAACATAAACTACAAACGCGTTTGGTAATTGACAAAATATTTAATTTGGTTTGTATATCAAGATATAATTTTTGATAATTTTTTTTAAAATTTTGTTTAATTTAAATTTTTAAATTTTTTTTAAATTATTTTTTTTCTTACACATCAATTAATTATTTTTTTTTTTTCTCAATCACTTTTTCTCTCACACATCTATTCAACTATAACAAAATATCAAATCATCTCAAACTACAAAATTATTTTCAAGATATACAACCAAACAAATAAAAAAAAATTCTAAACTTTCTTCTCAAATTTTTTTTTTAAATTTATTTCAAAACACAAACTCAGCACACATCTAATATTTTTTTAAAAATTTTATTTTATGAAAATGACAGTCCACCACCACCCATCATAATTGGGAAGTTTGTGTGTTGGGTTTTTTTTTGATTTTTTTCACTAAAAGACAATTTTTTTACAAAATTTTAAAAAATAAATTCAAACAAAATATCACATCCAACCTCATAATCATTTCATTTTTTTTTTCACAAACATCAAATCCAACTACAAAAAAATTCAACTGTCTTCCCAAACACCAAAATTTTTTTCCTCCAATAATATCCTACAATTAACAAAATCTAAATAAAAACTCACTTTCCAAACACCCACAGAATCCAAATAAAAATCCCAAGGCTTGGTTTAGAATGTGAACTGACTTTTTAGATTTTTGAATTTTTTAGAAAGGATTTTTGATTTTTTTAATTTTTTTATAAAAAAAATATAATAATTATAAATTAAATGTAATATCTTATTAAAATTAAAAAACCTAATTTATTTTTAAAACTATTTTAAGCCCAAACTTACTTCCTAAACAATGCCTAAACAAGAAAAAGCAAACCACCATCTCCGTCGTACTTATTTAGGAAAACCGTGTCGTCGACGTTATTCTCCCTCCTCACTCTCTCTCTCTCTCTCTCATATCTCTATATATCACCCACGTCGCGTAAAGGATTCAGCTGCAGACTCTGTAGTCCCCAAAAAAGCCAGACCACCCAAAACCATGAAGTCCATATCCACCAGCCTCTCAGCAGACTCAAACACGACCTCCACTTTCCTCAAAGTCGCCTCTCTCTCTTTCCTCTCCCTCTCTCTCCTCTTCCTCGCCAAGCTCTTCTCCGACTCCTACCAACCCCACATCCTCTCCTTCTCCACCACCACCACCGCCATCGCTAATCCCAACACTTCTTCCCCTCCTCCTCCTCCGCCGCCGCCTCTGGCAGTGGAGAGAACGGGGATTGTCGACGACAACGGCCTCATGACCGACGATTTCGTGGTCGGGGAGTTCGATCCGAGTGCAATTGAGAGCGTCGCGAACGCGAGAGAGGGGAGACAGAGTGATGAGGATGATTTTAGGAACAAGGCTAGGGTTAGACTTGAGAAGTTTCGGGTGTGTGATGAGAGTATGAGAGAGTACATTCCTTGTTTGGATAATGTGGATGCGATTTCCAGGTTGAATTCGACGGAGAGAGGGGAGGGGTTCGAGCGGCATTGTCCTCAGAAAGAGAAGGGCTTGAATTGTTTGGTGCCAAGGCCCAAGGGGTACAAGCTCAAGATACCTTGGCCTCAAAGCAGAGACGAGGTAAAGCAATTGAATGTATGTGATTGTTGCCAATTAATATTTATTTATTTATTTATTTTTCATTTTGGATGAATTGTTATAGAATTGAATTGACTATTTTTTTTTAATTTTTTATTATAGTTGTTATATATCACAATTTGAAATCAATCACTTTGTGCAAATAATGCCATATATTCGAAGTTTAGTTCAATTGGAGCTAAAGCTAGTCTAGATAAATTGTAGTAGGACTGCTTCAATTTGAGGTCTGGTTCACTGGTTTCAATGTAGATGATGTTATGATAAGACTCATAATAGTTATAGAGAGTCAAGTTCTTCACAAATAAAAGAAACCATCATTCATCAAAATGCTCACTTTAACAGTTTATATAAATGAGTGCCTTCATTGGAGACAATTGTCAGATGCAGCTTAAAAAATCAATCTTGGTTGGAAATGTAATTCTAGCACTTTGATTCATTAATCTCGAGTCTACACTATGTTCCCTGCATCATATCAACTGTTTATTAATTGGAGTTAGACCAGTTGACTTGCAATCTGCCTTATTGCATGATTAGACTGACAAAAGTCCTCTTGTTTTTTTTTTTTTTCAATTTTTTATTACGTGGTCTGTTGACTTTTATTGAGGTGGCTAACACCCTCGTGCATATAGATTGATGTGTTACTAGAAATTGACCCAGGGTTAGCATGCTTTGGGAACATTTTTAGTTTATTCGTAGTTTCTGGGACTCACTTTCATTGTAGGATAGTATTGTTACAGTTTTTACCATGAGTACAGTGAGAAAAGAATTCAGATAGTTTCAGAATCTCATTAATCTTGTCTATTTTTGTCCTTTTTTATTTTTGGCACAACAAATTTGATCACATTTAAACATCAGCGCCTATCATTTTTGTGTGTAATAATAGCTAGTGACATTGCTCCATGCAATAGGAAGGGTGTAACAATCTTTTGAAAAAAAAATTCTTGCAATGGATGGTTCTTTGATTGATAGGCTTCATTCCTTTTCTATGACATGCTTTCCCTTCCTCTTTTAAATATCAATGTTGAAATTATTTTATCTCTAAACCTTTTTATGCACTATCTTATTGAATTTAGAATATCCTTTTAGCTGCTTTCAGGCTCTTGTTGAGTATTCTCTTAATATATGAGTTGTGTAATTACTAATCAATGTGAAAGTACTCACGCTTCACGATTGCATTGAGTGAATTTCTTTTATTGGCTTGATCTTTAGTTGCAGTATATGACTGTTTACTTGATTCAGAGGAAGATGTCTCCACTAACTTTGAGATTTTAGTGCAGGTGTGGTTCGATAATGTACCCCATACACGCCTGGTTGAAGATAAAGGAGGCCAAAATTGGATATCAAGAAAAAATGATAAATTTATATTTCCAGGAGGTGGAACACAGTTTATCCATGGGGCGGATCAGTACTTGGATCAGATTTCCAAGGTTGGCTGCTTCTTCATTTCCCAAAGATTTTTATACTGTGTTTGGATAAAATTAAATCATCTTGTCATTTGAACACGCAGATGGTCCCTGACATTGCATTTGGCCAACACACCCGAGTTGTCTTGGATGTTGGTTGTGGAGTAGCAAGTTTTGGTGCTTTCTTATTTGATCGTAATGTGACTACTCTGTCAATAGCACCGAAAGATGTTCATGAGAATCAGATTCAATTTGCTTTAGAGCGTGGTGTGCCTGCCATGGTGGCTGTATTTGCTACACACCGTTTATTGTATCCTAGCCAGGCATTTGACTTAATACATTGTTCAAGATGCAGAATTAACTGGACTCATGATGGTACGGACTTTTCTATTTTATGTTTTTATGGTGGAAAGATGATCTCTCTCTCTCCCTCTCTCTCTCTCTCTCTCTCTCTAGTTTTTTATTGAAGTGGATCAGAAGTTTTTTTTGTCTTAAATACATCAGTTAGAGGAATGAATGATATCTATTACTTGGTGGAAGTCATTCCTGCCTTCTTGATGTTTAATGTGTCTTTTCATTTGGTTTGTTGTGAAGATGGAATTTTGCTTCTCGAGGTCAACAGGATGCTAAGGGCAGGAGGACACTTTGTTTGGGCAGCACAACCAGTTTATAAGCACGAAGATATCCTACAAAAACAATGGGAAGGTAACCATCATGTTGCAATTACTAGAATAAATTGGTCAGGAACTAACTACGATTCATTTTTTTTATTATGCAATCATATCAATGTTGCCAGTACTTTTTTTCCCCTTCCTTTTTGGCATCTGCTTCTCTTTCTTTTGGATTTTTTCTTGATTTTATATATATAATTTTTTTGGGGGGGGGGAGGGGTTGTTGTTTGTTTTTGTTTGGGCAGCACAACCGGTTTATAAGCACGAAGATATCCTACAAAAACAATGGGAAGGTAACCATCATGTTGCAATTACTAGAGTAAATTGGTCAGGAACTAACTACGATTCATTTTTTTTATTATGCAATCATATCAATGTTGCCAGTACTTTTTTTCCCCTTCCTTTTTGGCATCTGCTTCTCTTTCTTTTGGATTTTTTCTTGATTTTATATATATAATTTTTTTGGGGGGGGGGAGGGGTTGTTGTATCTTTTCTTTGTTGACGATAATTATGCACAGAAATGGTGGACCTTACTGAACGCATTTGCTGGGAACTTGTAAAGAAGGAGGGGTATATTGCTATATGGCGGAAACCTCTGAACAACAGCTGCTATTTTAATCGTCAGCCTGAAGTACAACCTCCTATATGTCATACTAATGATGATCCAGATAATGTTTGGTATATATGCCATTTTACCCCTTTCAGTTTGCAACATTACATGGCAAGTGTTTTTACAATTTGTTTGAACATTTTTATATCCATACCAACAACTCCTTGTTTGTAAGGAACGAGATTCCAATTGTTAATCTTTTCCGAAGTTGCCCATAACAGGTAATCTTACAATTGTTGTGAGCTTGTAAATGATTACTCAAATGGTAATTTTGAGTTGTCACACCATTTCTTCAAGTCCTTATTTTCCTACCCATCTAATTTAACATTTCTCTTTCAGTTGGGTGAACAATATCCTGTTTTCAATTTTGACTCAGAAGTAAGAAATAAAGCAAAACGTCTAACAATGGTAATACATTCTTGCAGGTATGTTGGTCTGAAGGCATGCATCACTCAGTTACCTGAGAATGGTTCTGGAGCTAATGTTACCACATGGCCTGCACGCCTTCATAATCCATCAGACAGGCTTTTTACTATAAAAATGGACGCCTACATGTCCAGAAAGGAAATATTCATATCACAGTCAAAATATTGGAGTGATATTGTAAATGGTTATGTTAGTGCCTTCCATTGGAAGGAATTAAACCTACGAAATGTGATGGACATGAGGGCTGGATATGGAGGGTATCTTTATATTTCTTTTGCTTCTCTTCATTCATGTTAAGCCTTCTCTAATTCTGCAATGCTTTGTAATTTTGATAAAGAGAACTATTTTAACTAAAGAATTTTGTTCATGGCAGGTTTGCTGCAGCATTACATGATCATGGGGTTGATTGCTGGGTTATGAATGTTGTTCCTGTTAGCAGTTACAATACATTGCCTGTTATTTTTGACCGTGGACTCATAGGAGTTGTGCATGATTGGTATGGGCTATGCACCTTTTCTATATATTGTTGTGAAATAAATTCACTTGTACAAATTCCATTTTCTTGAATAGCTCAGGCCATTGAGATACTGCAAACTTCATCCACTTAAGTTGTAACTCATAAGTTTTAATTATTTTTCAAACTAATTCATCTTCATTGCATAAAAAAAATAATAATAATAATAATTTGGTCCATTGAGATTCTATAATTTGAAAGATATTTTGACTGTTAGTTTTCCAGAATAATTTACCTAACATGTCACAGGGTTCACTCTTTCTTTGCTCCCTCCTCACTTAAAAGAAAATTATATAGGGACAAAAGAAATTAAATTCTAGTTGTAGAATGCTCCTCAAGATGGGGAAAATTATAAATGCATCAGTAGTAGGAGTAAGGAAGAAAAGTGAAAAGATTTTCTTGATTTCATCCCCTTGAAAGACATTGGTATTGGAGAGGATTTCATTTGGCAATGAAGTCAATATTTTCCCTCCTAAATGTTAAAAATATATTTTCCCTCCTAAATTGGTGCTTGAGATTTGTAAATTTTTGCTCGTGGAACTAGAGGAATAGAATTGGTTGATAACTATTTTCCACTTTCCTATTCAATTTTGAAGACAAAATTGTTATTAGAAATTGATTGGACCATATCCAGGTGATACTGTCTTGATCTACAGAGTTTCTTGTCAAGATATCAAATTTGTTATGTTTTTTCATTCCTCTTGCCTTCTCTTAGTAAGATCTTGAACTCTGTGATAATGATTTCAATTATGTCCTAGGTGTGAACCATTCGATACTTACCCAAGAACATACGACCTACTGAATGCAGCAGGTCTCTTCTCTGCAGAGAGTAAAAGGTTAACTTTCTTATCTTTCATGTTTGTATCTTATCTGTTTGCATGCAGTCACATCTTATTTTTAGAAAGAACATTGTTGTATAAATCACTTTTCTTTTTTTTTCTCTTTCTTTTCTTCAACTTAAACAGATCTAGATGTAATATATCAACAATCATGCTTGAGATGGATCGGATATTAAGACCAGGTGGGCGTGTTTATATTCTCGACACTGTCACTGTTATTGAAGAACTTAAAGATATAGCAAATGCCATGGGATGGCCAACCTTACTGTTCGATACCATTGAGGGACCCCATGCAAGCTCGAAGCTTTTGATCAGTGACAAGCGTCTTTAAACATAGTTATGGTTGCTCACTTTTTTCCTTGTATACGCTAAAAGCTTCTTTTTCTCTTAAAAAGAAAAATCTTCAAATCTTTTTCGCCTATATGTTGAAAGCATGGATTCCTCCCTAATCCTTAAATGGCAGTACTAGAAAGTAGAGATGGTGCCGAGACTGACTTATTGTAATATATTTCTGTAAATTATCAGTCAGTCATGGATAGCATCCTAACAGAGGCATCTGAAGTCCGAAGATAATAATTTCATATCCATGTTTTAGGAGCACAATATTGAATTATTATTTTTTCCCCTTAATTTTCTAGATTGCCTGATTTGGTATCATTTTTGTTTTCCATGCTTTTTTGAAACAAAATAATGGAAAGTTTGAAATCAGCTATCATTTTCATTTTTGTGCGAAAATGGTTTTAAAAAAAAAAAATTTGGAAAATGATTTGAGAAGTGTTTCTTAAAAAGGAGTGTTTTCAGAAATATCTTCAAATTCATTTTCTGTCTCAATTTTTCGTCACCAGACCCCCTTAATTTGTTCCTAACGTGTCAGTTTTCTCATAGATCATTGAGTGCTGATTAGACAAATTAGCTAAATTCTAGGTATAACCCAAAAGGAAAATCCATCCACCCTAACAGTGTAAATACTGCAAATTTGGTAGATTAAGAAAGACTACAAGACAATTGGTTAACAACATAACATTGGTATACATAATCTTCAAGTTTGGGAGTCCAATCTTATTGGCATCCATTTAATTAGGGATGTTAAAAAAAATCGATCAAATCAGTAAACTGATTCTAGTTGGGCCAAACTCTATGGTTTGATCCATCTTTTTGAGGGGATGATTTAGTTCCAGTTTCAAAAAACTGTTCAGTTCATGGATTAAGATTCAAAAAACTAAATAAAATTGAACTAAAAAAAAAAAACCCGAATAAAATCCAATTAAACCATTTGATAAATGTGTAATGTTTCTCTCAATATACTTATCTTCTTGACCTCCTTATACCTCAAAATCATTTCAATCCTGTCCACGAAGTGATGAAATTTCTGAAATTTCTAACCTAGAACTGCAGAACCAAACTGCAAAAGAGATTTGTTTTAGTTTGGTTCCAAAGATGTTTATGATTCGATTTGGTTTCAAATTTTTTGAACCACAGGATTTGGTTTTCAAGTTTTTAGAACCACACTACATCTAATTCCTCAATCTAATGGGTATTTCCTTCAACCATCAGTCAAGCTATCTTTTGAAGAATTCCAATGATCTTTTGCTTGAACCTTGATCATCAACCAAAATGCCTCAGGGGCTTGTTCTCAAAAGCAAAAGATTGTGCAAATAAAGACTAAAAGAGCTGAATCAATTACCAGTTCTGAAGGATCAGGGATCTTATCTTCATTTTCACAAAAAAAAAGGATCCAAACTAATGTGCCTCGATCATTAGTTCACGAGAGACTAGAAATATATCTTCACTTAGTAAATGCTTGTTTAATCGTGCTTCATCAAATTGACAGCTAACAGCAATTTGGATGTATTTTAATATAAACTGATGGCAGATGAGAATGAATCACACAGTTTTCAATAACAAAATTACCAAAAAAATAAGTCATCTGACCCTGTAAATTCATTTACATCCAGTTTCCTTCCACCAGACTATGAACACAAAACAAGTGACAATCAAATCCAGTGAACAAATTGAAACCAAAACTGGAAAATAATTATGCATCAGCTTTCCATACCCAAACAAACCACAATTGTACTTACTTACCCTATGACTTTGATGGCGAATCTTTATGTGCAGCAGTATTTACCTGTTTAGATAAATACGCTTCGTAGATTTCTACAACAATCCGCGGATCCTTCTCCACGAGTTCCATATACTCCTCTCTCTTACTAAGCTTATCCATGTTGTCCATGATCAACGATAAGGCTGCATCAAGCAAGTTCTTGGCATTGTGTTGATGAGCAAAGGCGTAATTCACAAGTGCGCTTTCCCAGTTCAACTTTGACACCATGAACTTCTCACAATATGTCTTGAGATGTTTCACTTGATATTTTTCGGCCAAGACTAGAAGGTCACAGGCCATTTGCTCGTCAAGGCACGCTTCGGCAGTGTACAAGTAGTTGACAAAGGCGCGAAGAGCATCGTATGAGACGTCGCTTATCTTGATGGTACCACTCAGGCTTTCCTCCATCTCATTTTCAAGCATGGCTCGGAAAACTGGGGAACGGCTGGCCTGAGTAATTATTGAAATTATCAAAGAAATTAATGAAATAAGTAAATGAAAAGAGACCCCCCCCAAAAAAGGAATGAATTTGGATTTCAATTATTAGATTATCCACTCCACTATGGAAAAATAAAGGTTTGTGTCCACAATCACAATACAATGGCACAAAGGCCCGTTTGATATTCCAAAATAACAGGCCAAAGTTTTTAAGTTTTGAAAATACCCCCTCTTAAATGATAAGTCTCTATTCACTGAATGCTATGGATTTCGGAAGGAGTGATCATTAGTCACGATGTGTGTAAAAAAGTGTACAGAAATATGTAAAATGTTTGGGAATATTTAAAAAGTGCATTGGGATTCTAACTATTTTGGCAAGCCTCCCGTTAACATGACCCTTAATTCGAAGAGAAAGCCTAAGTGCACAGAAGATTTTCACAACCTTGTCTCATATTTGTGTCATATTTTGTGAAAATCTTTTTAGCTGTTTTCATAAATACAACTTACAAGATCTAAGATCATATTACCTTCAATAAAGAAAGGCAGTTGAAAAAAGAGGGTGCTACAGAGCACCGTGAACTTTTGGCAAATTCAAATGGTGCAGCATATGGTAGTGATCCTACTATGTTATATCAGAAAAACAAGACTTAATCAGATCAAATATAATACTGCCATAGATCAACCATATATAATCGAACGAGCCACAAAATTGTGCAAGACTTTTTGCAAGATCAAGAACATGAAAAATACAGTGCCATGTATTAGAGCATCTCCAATGGTGCATCAAATTTTTCCTCAAATTTGAGTAAAAGGTCAATTTGATATCAAGTGCTCCAACGGAGGTTTGTGAAGTTTCATCAAAACACCGGTTGACCGGACGGACGACCGAACAGTGTAAATTTTTCACAAATTTTTGCCTTGAGACGATCATTCAGGGGGTCAACTGCGCAGATGTTCAGACGGTCGACCGGCCAGTGTAAATTTTTTCCTTAAGATGGTCATCCAGGGGGACATCCGGTGGTGAAAATCCAACGGCAATAAACAGTGATTTGATGAAAGGCATATTGGTTCTCAATTTGATGAAAGAAAAATGAAATTCTGAATTTGATATCTATTTGATGAAATCCTTGGAACAGAAAAATGAGCCATTTTTCATCAAATTCAAATTTGATGACAAGTTTGAGTAACCATTGGAGATAATTTTAATGCCATGCACAAAGTTCTTTTGCAGCTATAATAGAGGGGTCTCAGTAGACAGTACTGATGTCAAACCAACACGACACCCACTATTTAGAGAATACCAACAGAGAAAAAATGTTTTATTGTTTTGTAGGTAAAAAGAATCCTATCAGGATTGCCCCTTGAATCCAATTCTACACCCAACAACCCGTTTATCTCCCAAAATCTTCTCTGCTATAATCAGTAAAAACAAAGAATTATCACATCTGGTGGAGCTGCTGGAATGCGCTCTCCTCTCCTCTCTAGTCGAAGATGAAACCTTCAAGCCTTACTGTCCTATGATACCAAGGGTGTAGCCATCAAAGCTTTAGTATCCTAGAGTGGAGGTATTTGAGGAATAAATTACAATCATGAGAACTCACTAGCCAATTGCTCATAGTTAGTGATAATGGCACACCTTCAAATTCATTAGCAGTAAAAGCCTAAACAAAAGCCAAGATTAACGCATTCAGTTTCATTTTCAAATATTGTTCTTTTCTCGATAAAAATGATAAATTAAAATTGATAAAGAAAAATTGTTTGCCGACTGTTTCCAAAAACAATTTCCTTAAAATACCCATTTTTTAGGACATAATTTTAGATTAAAATGATGGTGTTTCCGAACTTGTCATTGTTATTGTTTCCAGAACATGATAAACGAAAATCAAAACAAACATTTTGAATTCAATATCAAACAGAAATTTTGCCCAGATCTTCATTACTCCCTCCGTCCCAAAATATTAGTCCCTTATTCTATTTTTCATTGTCCCAAAATATTTGTCTCTCTTCAAAAATCAAGTACAAAAATAATATAAATTTCCTATTTTGCCATTCTTTTAAATTAATAAATAATATAAAAAGTACAATTATGACATTGATATTCCCAAAAAATGTACTATCAAAAGGATAACTTTGGAAAATCAACTTTTTTCAAATGCAATAATTGTACTATAAAAAAAAGTTGAATTCCCCAAAAGGGACCATTATTTTGGGACGGAGGGAGTACATCATATTATGGCTCCTCAAAGATTCTAGAACTTGAACTCGTTTCCCACCAAATATTCCAAACCACTTAATAAGCCAAAGCCAAATCCAAATCCAAATCCAAAACAGACATTAGGAAATAGGGTAAAGGGACAGAAAGATGGTTAAAGAATTCAACTTTATTGATGCATGTCAACTAGAATTGATCCAGTTCATTCTATTAGTTCAGGAGTCTTCAATTAGTGTTGAATTGGATATAAAAGTACATCAATCAGACAATCACCAAAACCAATGATCCAAATTCAGAGATTATCATCACTACCCATTTCAGAGTTTGTCCACACAATCCACATATCAAACACATTCAATACACAACAAAAACACACAAAGAAAGTTAAAAATCGAAATGGGTACTCACTAGAACGGCCTTATGGGCAGAGACGGGAACAGGGTTAGACGCGGGTTTACCGGAATCGTCATCGGAAGCGACTAAAACGATGTCGGAGAAGCAAGGGGTAGAGCGATGGTGATAGTGATCGAAGGGAGTCCAGAATCTGAGGAAGGACACTTTGGATTTGAGATCTTCAATCTCGCGCTTCAGCTCTTCCTCGGTCTCGCTGGCTTCCTCATAGCACTCCCTGCAAGTGCCGGCGTCACGTGGCTCGTACTCGTCTCGGCAAGACACGCACTTCATCGTCCCCGCCGCCTCGTCGGCCTCTGAGTCCGATCCGAACTCCGACGACGGTCGCCGGCGGTGGCGTCGCATGATGATTATGGGGGCTTTGATTTGATGAGTAGAGGGGAGAGAGAGAGAGAGAGTGGCGGTGGGATGGGATTGGATTTTTTATGGAGACAAATAAGAGGTTTGGATCCGATTTGGATTCCTTCACGTGATTCGATTTATTCCCCCTGGTTTTTTTCTTGGGGGTAATTACACAGTAATTTTTGAGTAATTTCGTATCATTAACCTGTGGTATTTTATTATATTATAATTAATAAAAAAATAAATTAATTAAATATTATAATAAATAATTGAAGAATATAAAGAGACATATTAAATAAAAATTGATTAAAGAGTATAAATATATAGTACTTAAATATTGAATAATTTCTCAAATTACACATATGGGTGAAAAAAAATGAGATATAACTTTATTTTTTATATTTATTTTTTTAGATTTAAAAATGTGGAAGAAAAATTATTGGTTAATAATTTAAAAAATATAAAAAAGAAAATTATCTTAAATATTTTAATTGATTGATATATCATAAAGTTCTTTTGCAGCTATAATAGAGGGGTCTCAGTAGACAGTACTGATGTCAAACCAACACGACACCCACTATTTAGAGAATACCAACAGAGAAAAAATGTTTTATTGTTTTGTAGGTAAAAAGAATCGGGTTTTTGATGAATATATAATTTAGAAAAATTACAACTTTTATTTTTAAATATGACAAAACGTCAAATGAATATCATTTCTGTGATGCTATCTACTGGTGTGTTTGGTATGATTTGAAATAAAATTAAAATGAAATCTTAGATGACAGATTGATAAATTTATTATTCAGAATCACATTGTAATTTGGATGTTTAGGCAGTTTTAACTTATTAGTTAATTATATAATAATTTTAAATAATTATTAAATATTTTCATAATATATAAAATTAATTTATATAATATTATATATAAGATATTAATTGATTTTACATAATATTTTTCATATATGTACACTGCTAATGTACACAAAATTTTATATTTCAGATCTTTCTCACGCTGATTTTTATTTTAATATTTCATTGATAGTAACACACACACACATATATATATATATATGTGTGTGTGTATTAACTATAGCAGGTAGGGTGATTTCAAAGACAAATTATAAATTTTAATCCACGGATCAAACTAACCTACAGTTAGCAAGTAGATCGATATGAATTAAGTGATTTTAGTGAATTGAGTGATATTTTGCACTGTTTTAATTTTGTCAATCTCATTGAGGAATTAGCAAATGAGATGATGTCATAATAGACTTATATATAATGAATTTTGTTAATGTGTATAATGAATGCACATGTTAAGAATTTAAAAAATTATACATTGTACATGAAAGTGAGTGTAATAAAAAAAGTATAATACTTTTAAGTTCGGTGCCACTACGTAGCCTGAATTTCACTCAGTTCAAATGGCCCGAATGAGTTGGCAAGAGGTTGTCTTCTCCTTTGCCCAGTCGCACACCTTCGTGCAAGCACACTTTTGATTTCCAAAAATAGAGGTGAAGCGAGAATAGAGATGAAAACGAAGACGAAGCGGGAGTAGAGAGAGAGGAGGACGAAACTGTAGCTCGTGACCTACTGGCCGACTTGTGTGCCACTGCTGATCACCGGCCTGGTTGGTGTTGCTCACGATCAATCTGGGTGACCACCGACGACTACCAAAATTATCCTTTTGCCACTAGCAGCATCGACCTGTTCGTGAATCACATTTCGACTGTTAGTGGCTGCAACTCACAGGTACGTGTGTCTTCAACTTCAATTCCTTCGGTCCCTGGATTTGTATATATATATATGCCTATGAAATGTTGGAATGATTTGCTTATGTAATTTGCAACTCACGGGTACCTGGATTTTCTGCTCTCAAGATGTTCAATGATTTGCTTGTGTTGAAATGATGGAGTAATGATCTGGGATAGTTAAGGTTTACAAATATATTGATTAATGATCTGAAATTTATGGAAGAAATCTTGAAACAAAAAGAGATTTTGTGGGAGAAATCTTGAAACAAATTTAGAGTGTGAAACAAATCATGTGGAGTTTAATATCAGAACCTCATGTTAAATGCTGGAAAATATTTGAGGCCTTCTTGAACATGTTTTGCTTTGTTTGTTTGTGTTTTCCTATAAGGTGGTTTGTTTTTAGAAAATTTTCCTAATAATAGTTGTGAAAAACTATTCAGTAGATACAAGTAGAATGCATGTAAGGTTGTAGATACAAGTATAATGTATGTAAGGATGGCCCAACCCTCAATGGGGCTTAAGGAAAAATCTTAATAAGAGGCCTTCTTAACCATTTATCCTGATAATTTAATAATATATGTTTTATAGCAATGTTTTATTCTAATTAAATAATATATGTTTTATTCTGATTATTCTGGGGCTATTCATAGCAATGTTTTATTCTGATAATTTTGGGGCTAATTAATACATGTTTTCTTTTATTCTGATAACACATGTTTTCTTTTATTCTGATAATTTTGTGGCTATTCATAGCCTTTACTATTACAAGTTTTTGGACAAGGAGAGTTTTTCTTTTTGCTTTTTAAATTTTTAAATCATTATGTGTAGACAAGGAAATTTTGTTCTTTATTGGGCTTTTGGACAAGGAATGTTATTTTAAGTTTTAAGCTGCTATCTGAGTACGTAAAGCTTTGGAATTATTTAGGATTGTATACTCTTTCTCATTGTGAATCTATATTTCAGTTTTAAGCTACAATGGAAATAGATTCAAACAATACTTCATCCGATGGGATTGAGGAAGTTGAAGAACAGGAGAACAATCTTTCATTAAATAAGAATGGTGAAGTTGAAGAGCCGAAGAATGGTATGCATTTTAGCTTAAAGTAAGAAGTGTACGAGTTTTATGCGAAATATGCAAAACACCTAGGATTTGCTATAGCTTATAGAACACAGAATATTGGAGATGATGGGGAGGTAAAATACTTTGGAATTGAATGTGTGGGGACATATTTTGTGAGTAACAACACGTGGCCAAGGTGACGCCGAAGTGTCAGCCGAGGTGCCACGTGGCCTGGTCATGTGCCGAGGTGATCTCGGCTAGGCCGAGGTTATCTGCAGATATACCGGAATCTGAGATGAGTGGATAAGGGACAAGAGTCCTAGAACAGGGGAAGATCTCAATTTGGATAAAGATAAAACTCTTAGGGAGTTTATTCCTATCTAGCTGAGAGTCCAGGATGAGCATTGAGCCTAAGTCCACTGAAGTGAGGCTTCCACAGAGATCAAGTCAGTGATGGCTATAAAAGCAGGGCACTCTCGTGGGTCTAAGGTAGGCTTTTATTTGTGATATACTATGAGCAATAAGTTCTTTCTTATGAGTTAAACACAATTTGCTATCTTTGAGAGATATTTGATTATTAACTTGAGCGTCGGAGTACCCCCGAGTGGACGAACCACCATCGGGCCTGTGTTTTGACACTGTGAATGAAGAGAAGTTCAAGAAGACACATAACGACACTGGGAGTAGCGCACCAAAAAAATTGAAATCTATTGACAACCGAGCTCTTAGTCGGATTAAGGAGGATTTGAGGGACTACCTCTAGAGGAAGCGGAAAAATGCTGAGGTCACATCCCTCGTCAAGCCGAGAACACCATTCTCCGTAGAGTTGGACAGATTTGAGGCCCCAAAAAGGTTCCACATGCCAAGGTTCCAAATTTATAACGGTAAGTCCGATCCGAACTTTTACATCGGTTTATATCTGAATTCAATGACTTTGTATACCGAGAACAAACCATTGTTGTGTAAGGTGTTCCCCTCATCCTTGGGGGAAACTGTATCGGATTGGTTTCACAAGTTGCTGAAAGGAACTGTGAAGAGTTGGGATGGCCTGGTCGAGATGTTTGTGGCCAAGTTCGTTATAAACAAGTTACAGCCACTAAGGGTAGACTCCTTGATGGCTCTAAAAATTAGCGAGGGTGAAGGCCTCAGGGCTTATGCCAAGAGGTATTATGAGGTGTTCAACCTAATACTAGGATGCAACCAAGAATTGGCAGTCATGTCCTTTAAGAATGGCCTGGAGGATGAATGCTCGTTTCGAAAGTCGCTGGAAAAAACTCTACCAAAGAGTATGGAGGAGCTCATGGCACGGATTGAGAAATATGCCAGAGCAGAAGAGGATATGCCGAGAAATAAGGCACCCAAACAGGAGAAGAGGAACGGTTTGCCAAAGCGAGGTCGAGGTAATACTGGTTTTAACAGGTAGGAAATAAGGTTGAGGGCTACCCAGGCAGTCACCACTATGTTTCGAATCCCAGTTTACAAAGTTCTAGAAAGGATCAGGAACGAGCCATACTATAGAGCGCCAGAGAAGGTCCCTAGTGAGTTCATGGGAAGGAGCCTTGGGAAGCATCGTGTCTACTACAATGAGGATGGACACCTGACTCAGGGGTACAGAGCCCTGAAGACGCACTTGGAAGACCTGGTCAGACAGGGTCACTTAAGGGACCCAATAGATGAGGCCAGAACGAGGGAAAAGCATGCAAGGCTTTCCCCAGCACTAGTAGCACCACCATCACCCCAACAAGCAGAACCTCGATCAATGTGATTCACTCGAAGGTTAATGAGAATTATATGCGAGAAGAGACCCAAAAGGTGAGGCACTTACAGTATGTGTATCAGGTCCAGCAAAAGAGGCCTAGGGCAAACAAGTACTACGGACCGATGGTGTCCTTTACTGAGGCAGACCTAGACATGGTACAACATCCACACAATGATGATCTGGTAATGACCCTCAAGGTTGGAGAATACCAAGTAAGGCGCATTCTGATGGCAGCTCTTGTGATATCATGTATGTCAGATGTTACAAGGAGCTTGGCCTTCACCGAGATAATTTGAAGTAGTCTAACAGCCGAATGGTTAGGTTTAACGGAATTTCGACGTGGCCCTTGGAAGCAATAAATTTGGAGGTGCAGGCAAGCACTAGGAAGGTAAGCATAGAGTTTACAATAATTGACACCCTCTTCCCTTACAATGTTATCTTGGAAAGGCCATGGTTGCACGCTTACAATGTTATCTTGGAAAGGCCATGGTTGCACGCAATGAGGGCTGTTCCCTCAACACTGCACCAATTATT